TATGGTAGCTTTTGAAAAAAGATTTACATGTATTTTTCAGACAGACCCATGAGGGAGTTTTAAAAAATTGTTTAAGGTGGTTTAACTACTCAAATGCTTGCATATCTTTCTCTCATTAAACTGAGCCCAGGGAAAGCACCCTGAGTTAAATCTTTGGCTTCACTCTCTCTCCACCCCTTTTAATATGTTGTACTTTCCCCCTTGCTTAATGTGCAATAAGGCCATGGAAGTTAGCAAGTCTTTGTGTCCAAATCTGAGTCTTTGATACCCGGTCCTGAGCCCCAAACCTGAGTCCCTTTTAAAAACAAGCTTCCCCCCACCCCGAAAAAGAGGAAAAGGTGGATGGGTTCAGAGTTGCAAGTTGAGTCCAAGTCATTGGGGAAAAAGCACGAGTCAAGTCTGAGTCGACTCACTGGTGCAACTTAAGTCCGACTTGACATCAAGTCCTGTAACTCGAGTCCCCATCCCTGAAAAAGGCTTAATTCCTCCTTAGATATAATCTAGCTTCATTTGTTCTGCATATCTATCAGGAGTTTCTCTAGTGTAATAAAGGGGGTAGGTATTCAGTGTCCCAAATATAGAGAAAGGACACTTGTTTCCCAAACTGGGAACAGCCATTCTGTCCTCTGGCATTTAGTGCAAGAGGAAGGGTTGGTGGCAACTTCTCAATATCAAATGGTTAAATAAAAGTAATTATTACATCTCTCATTACATCTCTCTCTTGTAAATTGATTGTTCAATGTGATTACGTAGAGAGAAGCACTCAGATTACATAATGCAGAAGATATAGGAAACTTCACACTTCCCATGAAGTAGCCTAAGTGACAATGGTGGTGTTTCCCTGGATGTTTACATGTCATACTGTTCCTCTTAGGAAAGTGAATCAGTTTTGTGTGTGAATTAATTAGTTTTGAAGAACTATAAGGAGGAAGTCAATACTATGATGGACATTACAGACTGGCTAACCTCTGTATCATTAGAAGAATGTCCTTACGCCAGAGGTGGCAAATGTACGGTTCTGCTGCTGTTATGGTGATTACCATTCCCATCAGCTCTGCATTTCCAGGATAGACTCAGCAACAGCAGGAGGGCCACATGTTTGCCACCTCTGAGGCAGAAATGGTAATGGAGTCTCCAGTTGCAGTTTCTGTCAAGGCTTCTGCAAAAGGGATCACAGACAAATTGTATATCAAGATGATATGAGATGTTAGAAGCTGTCATTGTGAAACCAGTGACAGCACCTGAATATTCCTTATTGCAACAGCAAATGCATGTGCTTGATTCTCTTAGCTGTTATTTTGAATGCTCTTTTATGGTAACTAAATATATTCTATGATGGGTTGTGAATCTCATAGTGTCTCATTCACTGACCCAAATCCTCTTGTCCAGTTACGCTGGCATAATACAAACAACTTGGGGAGGCAAATTGCCTCATATCAAGAAACTTCAGTAGGCATTACCTGTTGCATACTGAGTTCTGTGACCCAGCATGCAATTAATAATGCCTACGGTGATCTGTTTTAACATGGAGCAATTTGTCTCCAAAAGTTACTCCGTTTGCCAGAAAATTTTGGCCAATGTCTCCATGAGAAACAAATAAAAATTAAATTTTTGCCTGACAGTAATATTTCTGTGAGTGAGATCTTATTTTTCTGAGAAATCTCATGGGAACGCTCTCAGGATTTCTTTCATGCTTGGTTGTCTTTCCCCCTTCCAAATTATTTCAATTCTTGTGCAAAACTAACAGGAAAGGGGATTGAGCTGTATAGTGCTGTTTCTTGCACAAATAATAGACAAAACATGGGACAGAGGCAGGAAAAACTAGGCCTGGGGGTCTTATTTTCATGTGAGTCCTGGAAATTCCATTTGTGCTGGGAAGCCTCGGTGAAGACTCTCAGCATGGCAAGATACAGAAGCACTTATTGAAAAACAGCCATGACAACTGCCTTGCATTCGAGTGAGATGTAGTTGACTGATGAAGAAAGAGGTCAGGTTCTGGGATTTTCTCTTGCTTGGTGTCCTTTTGTGAATGGCAGTGAGCCCAAGAGGGGAACCTGAGGACCATCCTGACTGCTGCTATTGGTGTCATCAGTATTCAGGCTAGCCTTTGCTATTTATAATTTGTCATCCCTTTTTCCTGCTAGCAACACAGACGTGACATTGTACAGCACAATCAGGCCATTTATTGGCATTTTGAATCATGGATTACAGGGTGGGTTTTTTCTTTTTCGTTTTTTCAGAAGGATTGAATTTTCTGGCTTTTTTAAGCAGATGTCTATAAACACACAATACCTCGAAATTTGCAATAGAAACAAATATAATCAAGAGGACCAGGCTACAGTGTTGTGTATTGCTCAGTAGGGCTTCTTTCTAAGCAGGTTCACACAAGATTGCAGTGCAAGTGTTTTTGGCACTTACATGTTCTCAGCCCAAGAGAAGAAGCCTTCTGGATGCTGAGTCCACAAGTGATCCTGCCTGCCACTATACTCAGAAGGCAGTCTGACCAAGTTCAGTGACTCCAGTGGTAAGGCTGCAGTCCTAATATAGCCAAATATTATCCAGAAGCGAGCCCCATTTACCTCAGAGAGATTTGCAGCTGAGTTCGTAGATGCAGATTAGAAACTGGCATGAATTTTAAAAAATCACTAAATGTGTTCAAAAAATGGTAATTCCCAATGGATATGAATCAATGAATTTTTAGCAATTTTTGATTCATCCATAATGGTCTTATGGTAAAGCTCATTGATGGGAAGGAGTGAAGGGAGGAGCTGTGTGGTGAGGTTTCTGCTTGCGTCAGGTACTGGTTTGGGTCAGTTAAACTGGAAACAAACAGCATTGATCTATAGAGCCAGTTGTCAAATGGTTGAACAGAAAATACGGCCCCAGTTTTCTTAGACCAATCCTCAGGCTTGAGAAAATATGAGGAAACACTTCCCCACCCCCCACCATATCCTTGATGGTCACTGGAGCACAAGCTTCAGTTTCCACCAGGTCCTGCTTTCTAAGATCTGGCAGCTTGTTTGCTCTGAACTTGCTTTACTAGTGCATTCAGTGTGCGCGCACGCACGCACACACACACACACACACACACACACACACACAGAGTGGTATTGTGGTAAATTTTGAAACATAGCTAACTCATCATGAGCGTCTCCATAACCAACACCCTTCCCCACAAGGAGTGTCCAGAAATGCTGACAACTGTGTTGGTCCATTGCTGGATAGCTCAGAGCAAGCTGGAGCACCAACCAGGCTGTTGATCAAGGGGTTGGAAATTCCACCAAGGAAACCAAAGGCGGAGTACTTCTGCCCCAAATCCTAATATACTGGAAATGGATGCAAAGCTTCAGTGACTGCTTATCCAAATGACCCAAATGAGAACTGCTGGGCGTCTCCAGGGTTTAGGTCTCTGGCTGTGGAAACAGAGGCTGGGAGTTCCATTCCACACGGTGCCTTCTTGATAGGAGCGGGACTTGATGATCCATAGGGTCCCTTCTAGCTCTACAGTTCTAAAATGAAGGTGACGATTAATTAATTTGTGAAATTGTTTGTGCTCCAAATGCACAGACGCATGAGCAGATATGCTTTATTCATTTTATAGAAACCAAACTATGGGCCGGTGGGGTAGTGAAGAAAATCTGTGAAGACTGGGCAAGGGAGGAGAAGACAGCTGAAAGGACAGAGGTGGGGTGGGCAGTGGTGGAAACAAAGGTTGAATCGGCAGCTGCACAGAGATCATGGCCCTGAGGGAAATGGGGAGTTTTCAACCCACTCCAAAGAGAAGCCAGGGTGGTACAGGAAGCAGAGGCAGGCATTTAAGTGGTGCCGATCTTTGCCTTCTGGTTGGTGCCTGTCACAATCCCACGTGGCCCCTGTTTGTTTCACCAAACTAAGAGTTCACGCTACGTGTCTTTCAGCTTATTTTTTAATTTAAACACAGATTGCTTGGAATGGAAGCCAAGGAAAAATGCATTTCTTAATAATCCAAAGCAGGACATGATATTTAAAAAAAGAGAGCCAACTCATCTGCAAAGAGATATGACGGGTCTGAGGCCCCTGCAGTTTGAGGGAAATGTACAGCAAGGAGCTGATTGGAACTGTTTCATATATTGCCATAGCTAATTACCGTAGCTATTACCTTCATCTAATTCTGCCAGTCTTTAACTGTGAAGGAAAAAGTACATTTTCTGAATAGCCTTACTTTGGAGGGGGAAAAGTTACATTCCACGTTGGTATCATCAAGAGTGTCCTAACAATCTATTCTAGCTGCAGAAGAGGATCTTTTGAGAGAAAAACATTTCAATAATCTCATCTCTGAATTTACTGAGAGGAAAAGTAGAGAAGAAGACAAGATAACGTTCTCAGTATACTGAATGCAGTTTGAAATTTGTCAGAATCTTATTACTTATATCTGCTAGTGGAAGTCCATCAGTATAAATGTCAAAAGCAAGCTAGATACGTTCTCTATAGTAGCTGCTCCTGTGAAGTGATGTTGGCTGAAATCCAGTAGTAAGTTACGATGAGAGTAGGCCCATTGAATCAGTGGGGATTTAATGAATCAACTTCTCTATAACTCCCATTTATCCAGCAGGTGCACTCTAGTTGCGACTTACTACTATGTTTCAGCCTTGGCCAAAGCCTTGTTACCTAGTGTAGTAAATGACACTAGAGGAGGCCCACTGAATCAATGAGGATTTGGGAAGTCAACTCTTCCATAAGTTTCATTGATTCTAACCAGCTTGTTCTAACTGCTACTCACTTTAGCCTATTTCATCACAGTTAAGAGTAGGCATAGTTGAATCGATGGAACTTACTGAGGCATTGACTCACCAAATCCCCATTGATACAATTGGCTTCCTCTAGTGAAGTTCATCATGCTAAGCAACAGGATTTTGGCCACTGTGTGCCATATTTGTGGCAACCTCGTTGCATAAATTGACCTTTCAAGCTAAGCATGACCATGTGATGGTTTACCTTCTTGTTCTTCTCTTGTTTGAAAGACAGATACCTATTCCTGGACAAACTGAAATCATCTTCTTTCCTGGTTGGTCTCCTCCTGGCATTTTCTTACTTGCTGGTCATCATACTGTTTGGACTTGTGCTCTCCCATGGTAATGACAACACCCTGAGATCTGACACACGTCCCTATTCTTAAGGCAAACTATGGGAGGGACATTTTTGCTCACAAGCTCAGCTTTGAAAGCAGGCTCAGGTCTGCCGAATATCTTGGAATGATGGTACAATCCACACTGAACCAACACACACACACACACCTCCATTCATTTGCACCTGAGCTAGCAGGGCATAATGCCCAGTGGAAGAGAAGATGATGCTTAAGTCCAGGGTCTGGGTTAGGGTGGGGTACACATGGGGTTCAGTCGGTGAATATAGAGAAGGGAACCACAAATTAGCCTTGAAGATTTTCAACACTATGTGCAAGTCACCACTTCTTCATAAGACTGTTGATCACACACTAAGGATGAGAACCTCTCCATGCATAGAAATGTACAGGCAGAGAGCTTCTCCACATGGAAAAGCACCCTGGTACACTCCCATAAACTACTTTGTGGGAATAAGCTCCATTGATCTCAGCGGTCCTTAACTTCTAAGTGGGCATGCATAGGCTGTTAATAAAGTTTCTTTGAGTTGGAGATAATGCACTATAGCATTCTCCAGAAACTCCAAATTAAGATAAATGTTTATTTCCATTTGTGGTGACATTTTTGCTTCGTTTCTTTCAAAGTTCGGTGCCTGAGCTGTCAGACTCCCAAATGAAACCACGCTCAACTCCCATTGATCAATTACTAATGAAAGCAATGTGACTTTCTAAATGCAGACTGAAACAAGCCTGTGCTCAGATGAACCTGTCAAGGAAACTTTGCTTCTAATGACACATTTTTTGTATTCCTTCATCTTGCAGGATTTCTGCCCATATGTATTACTTAAACCCCATTTTTAAGGGAATGTCTTGGAAATATTTTCAAAAAGCATGGGAAACCTCTTTTAAAATGATCTTCAGTAGTGGATTTAGTTGTGTTTTGTTTTAGTTTTTAGGAGTACAGATGTTAGGGAACAAATGTTCATCTGGATTATTCATTCATTCATTTATTATTATTAAAGAATTATTTCTTAATATATAATTATATGACTGTTATATGATTAATAACAATTATATAATTATATAAAAGTAGATAATAATTATTGAATTCCCTGTTTCTATTGAAATACCATTGTGGGAGGAAACAGGTTACTTATAAGGAATGCAAATCTAATGCCTAGTTTGACTTTTGAGTTCTGAATCCTTTTTTCATTTTAGAGTATAAACCTGCAATGTGTGGATAAAAATATATACAGTACAAGTGACTTGGTAAGACAAAGCATGCACACAGTGTTTTTCCCACTAATACCTGTGAGGTCCGAGTATCCATAATACTCATAAACAATATGGAATCATGGGGAAAAGCTGTTCTTAGAGACTTGACTACAGATGGTTGGGATCAGTTAAAATGGACTCTTTTGCTGCTTTCCCCCCTTCTGGACTGGTAACATTTGTGTGTTTTTATCTCTTTGTATACTTTTAGGATCAAGGGTTTCTACAGAAGTGAAGACACTGCATGAACGAAGTAAAATAGGCGAAGACTGTAAGTGGGTTTCCAATATCTACTCTGGCTTTTGGACTTAATTTTGCAGGGTGGGGGCAGTAGTGCTACAGATGGATCTCACCTTCAAGACTCTCATTCGAGCATCATAATTAACCACAATCAGGGCCCCCATGCCTCCATTCAGAAGGCACGTCTTCCCTCTCCAAAGTTACAATCAGTATCCTTTCCGTGTGCTCACTGAGTTCCAACTGTAGAAGCTGTCATGGTCAGCCGATGAAGTGCCATCCACAGACAACCAGATTACACAACAGTTACTATGTGAGATCATCATGGTACCTTCTGCAATTGGAATTCAATGCATGTAAATATAATCACCGTCGTCATCATCATCATCTTAAAACTGCGTAGCTGGAAGAGATCCTGTGGATCAGCTGTTCTCAGTGGGGGCCATACGGCCCCCTGGGCTCCCTGGCACATTTGAAGGAGACCACAGGCTAGAAACAATTCTTCACAAACCAGCTTATAAGGTTTGTTATGCAGCTTCTGAAATCCTGATTCAGCCTTTATTTCTTTCATTTCGTGTTTATGACCATGGCCAAAAGAAGGTTGAGAATGGCTGCTGTAAATCATCGAGTCCAGTCCCTGTCAAGGGGGCACAGTCTCTGCCTCCCCATGTCTCTTCAGTTGTAAATGGTTTGCTATGGCTGAGATCTAAAACAATTCAATATAATATGGACCAGATGAAATCTGAGCAGTCAGGTGTGTTGGAGGCATTCAGGAGAGAGTTGGACAACCATCAGTCAGATCTGCTTTGATTTGGATCCCTTCACTGAGCAGGGGGTAGGACTTCATGGCTTTAGAGGCCCCTCCCAACATTATTCTATCACTCCATTAAATCTTTTGAGTTTCTGTGTTGCCATTTGACTGTCCGGGAAGGCTTATGTCAGAAATAGGTGATAAACATCAGACCAAAACCAAGAACCAGTCAGGGTGCCAAAGAGCCAGCAGGTTGCTGCTGACCTACAGCATGACCCTTGGGGACTTACTTTGCTGTAATTTACGAAGGGGTCCTCAGGTTTTTCATTCCCAGCCTTTCCTTCTTTGCCAGTGTTTCCCTGTGGAGCCAGAAACAGGGAATGGAAATACTTCCACGGGGGATGCTACTACTTCGCCATCGAACAAGTCATCTGGGACACAGCAAAGACTCACTGTGAGGAAAAGAACTCAAGCCTGGTGGTTATTCAAGACAAGTCTGAGCAAGTAAACGTGGGAGTTTTTATTTGCAACCTTGCATGCTGTGTGTAGTTTAAGTGATGGACAGGGACTTTTCCAGGCTGGAGTGATCCTCTATCTACCCAGCACTAACCAATTATTCCTTCCAGAGCCCTGCCTCTCTTCTGAGTGTTCTGTCCCTCTCTATCATTGATTTATGGCAGTTGTTTGTTTGCTGTTGATCTGTTTGGCTTTTAAGTATGTGTGCAGTAAAGAAAGCAGTGTAAACAAATCTGTAATTCCAAGCAAATATCACTAAAGAAATGTGGTGGGTTTTTGTAAAGAAATGTGGTGTGTGTTTTTTTGGTTCATCCTCCTACTGCAAATGTTTGTGGGGGAATTATTGAAACTTTAAGTGCCAGTTAATGTGTAAGGGGTAGAACTGGTAGCTATTCTCCTGTAGAGTAGATCTCTGTATTTCTACTGCATAGCCAAAAAGAATTTAGCAGAAATTCAAAACTCTGCAATAGAAATGGGGCTAAGATATAGGGAACAAACCTCCTGCACTATTTTGGCTGTTGTGGAAGGTATTTATGCTACAGGTTTTAACTAGATTAATCACCAGTTTTCAAAGAATTCTGGTACTTGTAGTACATCCAGGAGAGACTAGAGACTGTAATCAGAGAGTTCTCACTGATCTCTGTAAGCTTTGTGATCTTCCATGACCAATAGGAACTAAGCAGGAGAAAGAGGGGTGGAGCTTTTCCCTTCTCCAGAACAGCCCTTAAAAGACTGATCTAATGCACATCACTGAATCTAAATGTGAAACGAGGACACCGTTATTTCTTCCAAGTTAAAGGCAATAATATATGGGAGAGCTATAAAAGAGCAAGGAAAGGCCCCTCTGCATTTTCCTGTTTTTGTTTTTATTTGGGGTTTTGTTGTTATTGTTGTTCTCATTATCGTTCTTGTTCTTATACTCCTCATTATTGTCTGGCAGAATTTCCTCCAGTCTCGAACCAGGGGTGGGCGCTACTGGATTGGACTCCACGATAAGGACACCGAAGGGGAATGGCGTTGGATTGATGGAACCAATTACAGGACCAACTTCAAGTAAGACAGGCCAGAACAAATTGTTACGACCCAAAAGCCACATGCAGTAGACCTTCTCTGAGTTCTCAGCTTTCCACTTGGTTTCTCCCTCCCAGAAAGGCAGCAGGTGTTGGCTTTTCCCAAGCCCTTGATCTGGAACATATAAGCCATTCCAGTTTAACCCAGATCTGTTTGCCAGGTCTTCAGGCACAAGCCAAATTCTCCAGCTTGTATTGGTTCCCAATTGTGGTGAGAAATCTCAGGGTGATTTCTCCACCCTACCTTCGTCTTAGCTTTCAGGCCCAAATGTTTAGGAATGGAAAGCAGCTGATACAGCAAGCCTACCAGTAACCTAAATACACCCCAAAACAGCACCAGTACATCAATGTGTTCCACCGCTGTTGTTCTGGGGAGAATACAGATAGAAGTAGTTTCAAACTGATGCAAAGCGGCAAACTAACTTTCCTTCTGTCTGTCTTTTTTTTCTGTCTTTCTGTCTTTTTTTGATACTGCCAACTTTTCAGACTCACTGTGATCATTCTTGATACCATGGGCAGGAAACATTTCTTATTCCCTCCTGCCTAATCTATAAAGGGCTGCAAGCCAGTGCTCCGGGCAGGGGAGGTGAAAATATAAAAGGGGGAGGGCAAAGCATACTCTTTTGTACATATACTGGCTATGAAGAGTAATGTTAGGGTAATATTATCATGATTGTTCCATTAGCCTTTCATTAAAAGTAAAATCCTACACTCCTCATCACTCAGACAAACAATGATTTATGGCAATGGAACTACTTTTAATATGTTAGCTCCAAACTCTGGTCTAGGAGAAATAACTGGGCAGTTCTTGGGGTCCAAAGATGGTGCCACTGTAAGAGAATGGTTCTCCTTTCTTACTTGCTTTCAAAGCAATGTTCCTGCCTTCCTCATTTAGGAACTGGAAACAAGGCCAACCCACGGATTATGCCAGCAACGAAGACTGTGCTGAGATCAATATCGTTGGGGAATGGAACGATGAGAACTGTAACACTCAGAACTTCTATGTGTGTGAGAAACCATTGCCTTCCTGAGGAAGGAAGGAAGGAAGGAAGGAAGGAAGGAAGGAAGGAAGGAAGGAAGGAAGGAAGGAAGGAAGATCTGCAGACTTTTTCTAGGACAAATGAAGGCTTCGCAATGATGAACTTTAGGGTCAAAAGCCACTGACTTCTTCATTCTGATTACTTTAGAAGGACAAGGACTCTGCACAACTGGAATCGAGATAGAATTCCAGAAATAATCCTCTTGCCTGCCAAATTTGGGGTGGGTGGGTGTGCCTCAAAGTGAAAGTGAAGTTTTCATCATCATCATAATAAATATTTTATTCCAGTTAAACATTTTAATTAATGGTTGTTGTGGATTTTTCAGGCTGTCTGGCTGTGTTCTGAAGGTTGTTCTTCCTAACGTTTCGCCAGTCTCTGTGGCCGGCATCTTCAGAGGACAGGTCATGAAAGCCTTCAAGAATACATTTTTAATTAATAATTTTGTTTTCAAATTTCAAACGACAAAAGTTTTCTTTTGATGTATAGTAGGATCGCCATAACTGCAGGGGATCAGTCCCAACTCCAGCCCCCTACTGATGCCAAATAGTGCGGGTATAGAAATGCTATGCATGCCTTTTCAAGATGTATTACCAGAACTTTTCAAGATGAATTCCCTCTAGTGACCAGTTCTGGTAATACATCTTGAAAAGGCATATTTCTGGGATGGAGAGTTATTTAATATTTTCAGGCAGCGGATAAATGAAATCGCAGGTACTGATCCCACGGGTACAGTATTGTCTTTCAATTGGAGGGAAAGGCAAAGAACAGTATAGAAGTCATCTGAGCTTTTGTCCAGCATAGAAAAACTGCTGGATAGCTCAGTGGTTTAGGTATGTCACTGCAGATCCAGAGGCTGGGACGTCAATTCCGCACTGTGCCTCCTTGACAGGGATATGGCCCAATGATTCATAGGGTCCCTTCCAGCTCCACAGCTCTAAGGTTATAAAATCTAATATTAAATCAATTTTTTTTGTTCAAGGGGAGTTGGGTGATGGTGAAGGAAGGAAGTGGGAAGGCTTCTCAAAAATCAAAATGGGTTCATGATGCCCAAGGGTTTACGAAATCAATGTATTCGCGAAGGCTTTCCTGGATGGGGTCTGATGGTTGTTGTGAGTTTTTTGGGTTCTTTGGCCGTGTTCTGAAGGTGGTTCTAAGCATCAGAACAGAGCACTCTCTTTTTCACTGCAGTCCAGTCGATGTTCATGGAGATGTACATCCCAATAAGTTTGATGTCCTGCATCCCAAGTAAACATGTACACGATTTCAGCTTATGTAAACATAGGCTGAAGTGTATAAATTCATAAATGTCATCTAAATCATATCATGGCTGTTTTATTCTGAGACTGCATCCAGACAGTCATGTTGTGGTGAAATCAGCATGCTTTTTCATGGAGGTCTCTGATCAGTGAGTGGGCAGTGCTTGTTCCTATGTGCTGTCAAGTTGCTTCTGATTCATGACAACCCTCACAGAGTTTTTGATATATATGAGATGTTCAAGAAGTAATTTACCATCGCCACCACCTTCTGGTGAGTTTCTCTGACAACCGAGCAAGGATTTAAACCCACACCTTCCTGAGTCCTAGTCTAACACTCGCTCCGCTACACCTGCAGTTCCCAACCTTGGGTCCTCACATGTTCTTGGACGAAAGTTCCCAGAAGCCTCCACCACTCGCTGTGTTGGCCAGGATTCCTGGGAGCTGTAGTCCAAGAGCATCTGGGGACCCAAGGTTGGGAACCACTGTTGTACATACTAGTTTTCAAAGTTGGATAATTCTTGGGGTGGGGATAAGTTTTGGCTACTCAAAGCGAAGGTGCCAACTCTGTGTTGGAAACATAACTTTGTAAGGGCATGCTTTGGGAAGGGGGAGGTGTCTTAGTTTTGTCCTTGCGGCAATGTGTCCTCTTGAGGACCTTACATAATCCTTGACAGGCCACCTCACTAGCAAGATGACCTGTCTGGACCAAAATGTCAACCAGCTTGTAGCCAAAAGTAATGTCTCTTGCGGAGATTATTGTTTGAAATTCTGTGGCAACTGCACTGAAACTCTCTGTCCTGAATGCAGAACCCTACAGAACCAACAAGGCAGGGCATTGCTGTCCTTTGGCTCATTGTGGTGGTGCCACATTTTAATGGCTCCTGTTGGTGGCGGCTTTCAGCATTCCTTCTGCCAGCAGCTTTCAGTGGCAGCAAGTGAGAGGGGCCAAGAGTCATAGACCCATCTGGGGGAAATGTATGCATTTCACAGGTGCCATAAGTTGCCCATCAACACACTTTAAAATGCGCTTCCACCATAATCCACCATGCGCCATCATAATTCATTGGGTTGCAGCTTATTCAAATTTTGTAGCAAATAGGGGGAAAAAAAGATCCCCTAAATCAAGATATATTTTTTCTTTCATGCCCCTAATTATTGATGCTGTGGGGTTGATTTAGGTTGTTAACCTACTCAGCTGAGTGGAAAATTCCATTAATGTATAATAGATGCAGAATAGTAGAGCTTGCTTGCTCTAGTCTAGTGATACCCTTGCACATGAGGTGATTTCCATGAACAAAACCTGCCCTCTGCTGGCCAATGGGAGCACTTGCATATATGCCATGGTGGTGGAACTTTCTGTTTAGCGTGAAATGTGCATTATATTTGCTCTGTCTGGTGAGGTGGAATAAAATGTTCCTCTAAAGCCAACACTCTGCATGCTTATAAGTACTATGTTCACTTCTTCCATATGCAGGCTAAGGAAGCATGTTGTTGACTGGACCTTCTCAGATAGTATCACATTTGCTGTAGGACATCCACAGCTGAAAATCCCTATTGAGCCCAAGTCAAAATTACTGGGGATGTATTTAGATTTCATGGCCTCTACATTTCTTGGCAAAGGCAAGAAAATGTGAACTCTCATGTTCATTTCCTCAGAAGGTTCCTCAATTGTGTGTGGGGGGGAGCATTTTATAAATGACACAGACGGGAGAAACACCTGAGCATGGAGGATGATGCTCTGCCCAACACTAAGGAAAAGGAGCAAAAGGTCTGGTAAGCAGTTCTGTTGGAGACTAAAACAGCCATGGCACTCATAATACGTGAAAAGCAGCAGACGTGGGTTAGAACTAAAGCTGAGGCAGATGTAACGAGTATAGATTATTGAGACTGTTCTAAAAAGAACAATCCAAAGCTACCTTTCTTCTCCAGGATGGAGCAGTGAGTAGAAATTGCTACCAGCTGTGCATGATTCTGAGTGGCTCCTCTCCCATGATGATGCTGCCCCTACCCCCAAAAAACTACCTTGGAACAGTTTTCCTAGAAAGACAGATCTGTCATGTATCTCAGCTATGGCACATTAAAGAAACTTTTGCATCTATTCTAGTTCCTTCCTATTAATCCTCTTTCTAAGTGAATGAGGAAGAAAATGTAGCTCTACTGTATGTCATCATTGCTATAGCACTGTAGTAGCGCCTGGGCTTTGCAAACAGAAGGTATCAGCTTCACTCTGGCACTTCAAGTTAAAAACTGGATTAGATAACAGCAACCTTTGGAACCTTTGAAGAAAGGCTGTAGCTCAGCGCTAGGGGCGGGGCCACTGTCAAAATTGATTTTGATAAATGCTAGGTACTCTGACTACTGAGCACTGCAGCACTAGAACACATGCTTTGCATTCAATTCATGCCTGGGCATCTCCAGTTGAAGCTGGGAAAGCCCTCCATTTGTAAACGTGGAGGACCTCTGCCAGTCCATGTAAAGAGTACTGAGGAAGGTGGAACAAGGCTGTGACTTACCAGAGGGCAGCTTTGTTTGTAAGAGAAAGCAGGAAAAGAGCTGGAGTCATCAGATGTGCTCCATCCATATAAATATGTTCATAGATAAATCCAGCAGAGGGCAGCACATCCACAGCAATGTCAGAAGATAGCTAGCTAGCTAGCTAGCTAGGCTAGCTCTGACATTGCTGTGGATGTGCTGCCCTCTGCTGGATTTATCTATGAACATATTTATATGGATGGAGCACATCTGATGACTCCAGCTCTTTTCCTGCTTTCTCTTACAAACAAAGCTGCCCTCTGGTAAGTCACAGCCTTGTTCCACAGGATGGATAGTATATTCCTGTTGCTTTGTTTCGGTTCTTTCCTCTTTATAAAAATCTTTTCAAAATTTCATAATTTGGTAAAGAGGACATGCAGGGGTGGTGAACTGGGATTACTACCTGTTTTTTTCCTGAGATCCTCATCTTGAATAGCTATACGGCAGCCAGGTACAGCGCAATATTCTCTCTGAAAGAGATGTGACAATGGAAATTGACAAGTAGCAGTGAGGGCATTTCTTTAATTCAGCTCATTTGTGACAAGAATTTTCCAAAATTCACCAATCTCTTTATGAATTTACATTGAATGAAAAGAAGTCACTCTGAACAACTTGGGACTGGATTACCTTAAGAAGTCTTCTTTTTTATTTGTTTCAGAGTGTGGCACAATTTAAAATTATGGACATATATGAAATATAGGTAAATTTTAAAATGAAATAAAACTTTAAAATATGTTAAGATTATTAGGCTGTTTTTGAAGCAGGCTACTTTAGTAGTGTTATCTTGGCCATTTGCAATATCTTATTTTGAATACTTGATGGAGCATAATTGCAGGCACATAAGTGCTGCATTGATTGAATTTCTCCACAATCACAGAAAATTTGTCCTCTATCCAAGTAGCCCCATTTTATCTGTTTATTCTTTGGTCTTCCCACTTTGCTTCGGAGCCTATTAAGTGACTTCCATGTAGTCCAGCTGGAGTCTTGTCCTGGTGGGAGACACTCTTCAACATTCACCCATCCTGCAAGGTGTGTTGTTTTTGCTCTTCATGGGTTTCGCCCACCCTCTTCTGGTTTAACCTTTAGAGCTTAAGATGTGTGTAGAAAACCTTTCCTCAATTTTACCCATCATCTACAGCAGCCATTCTCAACAGAGGCTGTACTGTATGTCCCCTTGGGAGGCGGTGGCAAATTTGAATAGGGCCACAGACCGGATTCTTCAAATATCACCTTATAAGATTCATTCTGTGACTTATACAATCCTGATTCAGCCTTTACATACTGTGTTTTTGGCCATGGTCTTTAAAAAGGTTGGGAATGGCTGGTCTAGGGCTCAACCTCTGAAATCTGTAATGTTGTATCAATTGTTTTACAATGCCAGCATCAATGCTCTTGTCAGAACTGAGCAGCTCATATACTGAAGTGAAACAATTCAACTCCCTTTGGTTCCCAATGGCCCAGGGAGGTTGCCATCTGAAATCTATTCCGGGAGA